TTTTTTTTTTTTTTTTTGGTACTGGGAATTGAACTGAGGACCTTGTGCTTGCCAGGCAGTTGCTTGTGCCACTGAGCTATATCCCTGGCCCCATTCAGGGAATTTTTAAGATGTTTGCATTGTAGACTTTGCCTTTTAATTATCCTGGGAAGACCAATCCCCTTATATTTGTTGCTAGGTTTTACCCTATGGACAGAACTTAAAAGAGAATTTAAATCAATTATTTGCTGTCACCCAGGGTCCATGCCATTTTTTTTTAGAGAGCTACTGTGATGGATCTGCTATCAGAAAGAAGTTCTTATGTAGATCCTTACTTCTGGGGTTCTCTTCTAGCCAGAAGAACAGTGACTTTGTTAGTTTCTAAGGAGACTGCCTTTCTACTTGAATGCACTGACCAGAAATCCTGTATTAGGCAATGTGGTTCTTAGTTGTGACATACTTGTGTTAGTCTTCCAAAAGGAAGTACTAATGTGTGCTTTGGGGTCCTGAGTTATGCCTTCATTTTCCTTTTGTCCGTCTCCTTTTCCTCACTCCTGCCCATTTAGAATCATAAATACTTGGTACTTGTATATTCCATCTTAATAGGGAGTTTTGCAGTTCTTCCTATGGACTTCTTGTTTCTCCTCTATCCTCACCCGTCTTCTCTGGATCCAGCCATCTTTCGTACATTGGGCCTTCCCATCCAGGGCCCTGTGAGGATTACTCGCGAACCGGCAAGTGACCCCTCACAATAGTCAGTGCAAACCAGTACATGCCAACTGAAGAGGAGCCCCTCAGTATCCCCTAGCCTTCAGAATGTGTCCCTGTTCCCAGGGACTGAAGCTGCTCCTAGTTTCTGGGTACAATAATTTCAAGTTTTATAATCTTGGTGATGTTTAACAGAACATAAGGCTACTGAATTCCTGGTTTCAGTTTCTTATCCGAAGAGAATAAGGAGAGAAAGCAATAAGATGTAGAAGTGTATATATATGTTGGCAAGTAATGCCACAGAATGATGCTAAAGCCTGCTAGACATAAGCCAAGAAATACACCATGGAGAGTGGCCAGACACGGAATTATCCTTACAGCCCAGGGCCTTAGGCATCCCAACATATCGTAATAATGTGGGAAAAAGTAGAATCAGAATGTCTGATCTATTCCCCTTGTTTTACAGATGAGAAAACTGAGGCCCAGAGAGGTCAAGACCATTCAGCAAGCTAGGGTGGGAGCCAAAGCTCCTGCCCAGGCCTCCGGGCTCCCAGTGCTATGTGCTCCTTCCACAACACCCAATATGAGGCAGTCAGTCAACAGGTATATGTTTAGTGCTACTCAGGTTCTGACCACTTAGAGTGGACTCAAGATAGACAACTGCTCTTAATCATTCCAGGCAGCCAGGTGTGCCCCACTTAACATCACCGTATGTACCGTAGCTCTCCAGAGCACCGGATCTGGATTGGGAGGGAAGGAACTTGTGTTTATTAAGCATTTATTATATGTCAGGTTCATGATTGGTTCTTTCCATATACTCTTTGATTTAATCCCTACAAATATCTATTGTAGAAAGCTGATGTTTCAAGAGGTCAGCTAATGGACCCAAGGTCACATACCTGGTTTTTGTCAGCCGTAATCCACCCAGGGGCAGTCTGACTCCAGAGTGCATGACTAAATCACAGGATGATAAAGCACCTTGCTTGGTTCCGCTCTTACCAATCAGAACACCAAGATCACAGAATTACTATGAAAGTGTATTAAGCTACTGTTTCTAGTGTGGCTCATGCAGCACTTACTGAATAGTGGGGGTTTACTAAATCTTTCTTAAAATATGATATAGACTTCGGTTCAACATGCCCCAAGTCAGTTCAAGGCTGTTTCACCTGAATTTTTCTCAAAGCAACGGGTTTGGGGAAAGATCTTTTGGCTGTAGCCCCAAACCTAAAATGCTCACTGCCTGGTGGCAGACAGAGAGAGTCATGTTCCATGTTTAGGGTTTATAATCTACTCTGTCTCTGCCTCCTTTGAGCCAATTTAACCAAGCTGTTAAATTGTTTGAACACAGTCAGTTACATTTTCTCCTCTGGTTTCATTCAGTCTTCTCTCTGCGCTGAGGAAACTGGCTGAGGTACTTTCAGCAGTCCCTTTCTGCATTGTGGAAGAGTATATTCTGTGATGCTGAGTGAAGCTGCTTCCTTGGCTACCCAGTGTTAACAGGTGTTTTCCTGGGATTGGCAGCTGGAAGCAACCTTGGTCTTGTACCTGCAATATGAGGGTTTTGAGAATGCGGTGAATACTGTACCATTCTGACTGGAAATGAACATAGTTTTCACCCAGGTCTGGGCCTCAGGGTTTTTTTTTCTTTCCTTTTCATGAGGAGAATGTCATGCTATAGAACCCCCTATCCCAGCTTTCTGATCTGGAAGAAATATTGAGGGGCTGTGTGATTGAGATTTTATGTTACATGTTAGTGTCCTCTGAAGTCGACTGCCTAGTGTTTTGGATGTCGTGAATGTGGAGGTGTTCTGAGGACTGTTGCCTGTGTATTCCCCCACTCATCCTTTCATCCTCCGGCACACTATGCCCCTCCGTGCCCCACGCCGTCCTTCCTTAACACTGTGCTTGTCCTAACACACCTGAAGCTTGGTGTAGCTGCAGCAGCAGCAGCACTTTCTTCCATCCTCTGCAACTAAAGACTTGATCCAGAAGATGCATGTGTGCCCCGAAGGATATCAGGTTCGAGGGTGGGTAAATGCTATGCAGGTAGTGGTGGATTAAGGATGAGCATGACTGAGGATGGGGCCATATTCCGTTTAGGCCTGGCAACATGGTCAGAGACCTCTGGCACCCGTATTCAGTGGTGCCTAGGGGAGGCTGTGATATCTTAGGAACTAACAGTGTCAGCACCTTGGGCTGCTCTATTTCTGATGCAGCTTTTCTCCTCTTCCTGTGGCTGGTTCCTCAAGCATCTGCAGCCCTTTGGTCCTCCTATGTATCATTCGCAGACATAGGAGGAGGCAATAGTCTTACTCAATACTGGAGCAGATCAACCGAGAGGAGGTACAGGAGCAGTTTTCTCTGAACAGGTTGTTTAAATTTTTCCAGGCCGATCTTCCACACTTCTCCACTCATCCTCTTCTCTCTGCCCTCCTAAAGCAATCCCTTTGCTGTACCAACGGAGGTCAGAGAGAAAGAACTCATGTAGAGCCCATTTTGTTTGTTCCTGTGGCCTTGGGACCTTAGCATATTTCTTGCTTTGGCTTTGTTTTCCAAACAACTTCTGGTAGGCTCTCAGGACTATATTATTTCTGTGGCACTTTGATGAAGGCCATTGGTTCAAAAGCATTTGAGCTGGAGTCAGCCAGTTTGGGGGCCTCCAGAGTGAACTGCGTCTGGGAGTATGTGGCAAGGAGAATGTGTACTAATGTGTGGCGTGTTTGGTAGGAGCCCGCTGGAAGCTGTTATGGCAAAGGGTGGTATGGGGGCTCCAGGGCTGGTTCTTGATTTAAAGACATTGGTTTTGAGAGGATCTTTCAAGTTTACACCTTGGCACTTAAGACATTATGCCGGTGACACAGGTAAAACACTTTGAGTTTCAACCTTACCATCTTAAGACTGATTTCTGTTTGTGTCTCTATTCCTTTCAGCTTTAACGTCTCCTAAACCGAACTTGATGGGTCTGCCCAGCACAACAGTTCCTTCCCCTGGCCTCCCCACATCTGGATTACCAAATAAGCCGTCCTCAGCGTCACTGAGCTCCCCCACCCCAGCACAAGCCACAATGGCGTTGGCCCCTCAGCAGCACCCCCAACCCCAGCAGCAGCAGCAGCAGCCACAGGTGCAGCAGCCTCCCCCGCCGCCAGCAGCCCAGCCGCCACCCACACCGCAGCTCCCACCTCAGCAGCAACGCAAAGACAGTGAGAAAGTAAAGGAGAAGGAAAAGGCACACAAAGGAAAAGGTGAACCCCTGCCTGTCCCCAAGAAGGAGAAAGGAGAAGCCCCCACAGCGGCTGCAGCCACCATCTCAGCCCCACTGCCCTCCATGGAGTATGCAGTGGACCCTGCCCAGCTGCAGGCCCTGCAGGCAGCCTTGACTTCAGACCCCACAGCGTTGCTCACGAGCCAGTTCCTTCCTTACTTTGTACCAGGCTTTTCTCCTTATTACGCCCCCCAGATCCCTGGCGCCCTGCAGAGCGGGTACCTGCAGCCTATGTATGGCATGGAAGGCCTATTCCCCTACAGCCCTGCACTGTCGCAGGCCCTGATGGGGCTGTCCCCAGGCTCCCTACTGCAGCAGTACCAGCAATACCAGCAGAGTCTGCAGGAGGCGATCCAGCAGCAGCAGCAGCGGCAACTACAGCAGCAGCAACAGCAGCAGCAGCAGCAGCGGCAACTACAGCAGCAGCAACAGCAGCAGCAGCAGCAGCAGCAGCAGCAACAGCAAAAAGTGCAGCAGCAGCAGCAGCAGCCCAAAGCAAGCCAAACCCCAGTCCCCCAGGGGGCTGCTTCCCCAGACAAAGACCCTGCCAAAGAATCCCCCAAACCAGAAGAGCAGAAAAACGCCCCCCGTGAGGTGTCTCCCCTCCTGCCGAAACCCCCCGAAGAGCCAGAAGCAGAAAGCAAAAGTGCGGACTCCCTCTACGACCCCTTCATTGTTCCAAAGGTGCAGTACAAGTTGGTCTGCCGCAAGTGCCAGGCGGGCTTCGGCGACGAGGAGGCGGCGAGGAGCCACCTGAAGTCCCTCTGCTTCTTCGGCCAGTCTGTGGCGAACCTGCAAGAGATGGTGCTTCACGTCCCCACTGGCAGCGGTGGTGGTGGCGGCGGCGGCGGCTCGTACCACTGCCTGGCGTGCGAGAGCGCGCTCTGTGGGGAGGAAGCTCTGAGTCAACATCTCGAGTCGGCCTTGCACAAACACAGAACAATCACGAGAGCAGCAAGAAACGCCAAAGAGCACCCTAGTTTATTACCTCACTCTGCCTGCTTCCCCGATCCTAGCACCGCATCTACCTCGCACTCTGCCGCTCGCTCAAACGACAGTCCCCCTCCCCCGTCGGCCGCCGCCCCCTCCTCGTCCGCTTCCCCCCACGCCTCCAGGAAGTCTTGGCCGCAAGTGGTCTCCCGGGCTTCGGCAGCGAAGCCCCCTTCTTTTCCTCCTCTCTCCTCATCTTCAACGGTTACCTCAAGTTCATGCAGCACCTCAGGGGTTCAGCCCTCGATGCCAACAGACGACTATTCGGAGGAGTCTGACACGGATCTCAGCCAAAAGTCCGACGGACCGGCGAGCCCGGTAGAGGGTCCCAAAGACCCCAGCTGCCCCAAGGACAGTGGTCTGACCAGTGTAGGAACGGACACCTTCAGATTGTAAGCTTTGAAGATGAACAATACAAATGAATTTAAATAAAAAAAATTAATAACAAACCAATTTCAAAAATAGACTAACTGCAATTCCAAAGCTTCTAACCAAAAAATCAAAAAACAAACAAAAAACAAAAAAGAAAAAAAAAAAAAGAAAAAAAAAAGAAAAAGCGTGGGTTGTTTTCCCATATACCTATCTATGCCGGTGATTTTACATTGTCTTTTTTTTTTTTTTTCTTTTAATATTTAAAGAAAACAAAAACCCTAACCGTGTTACATTGCGTCCTTTTGAAGGTACTATTGGTCTGGGAAACACAAGTCCGCAGGGCCTCCCTAATGTCTTCGGAGCTTAAACCCCTTGTATATTTGCCCCTTTTCAATAAATGTCCCACCTTGATAGCACAGAGGAGCCCGGCATGCACTGTATGGGAAAGCAGTCCACCTTGTTACAGTTTTAAATTTCTTGCTATCTTAGCATTCAGATACCAATGGCTTGCTAAAAGAAAAAAAGAAATGTAATGTCTTTTTATTCTCAGGTCAATCGCTCACACTTTGTTCTGTTTTCAGAATCATTGTTTTATATATATTATTTTTTCAGGTTTTTTTTTTTTTTT